CAGAATAGATGTTTGGTGAGAACAAAAAGCAAATACATCAACGTCACAATTTATTTGTCGACGACCCCAATTTGGATAAAAAGAGGTATGACCAATTGGCATTGCAATGCCGTCCCTTCCACTCGAAGTGTGTATCGTTACAACATAATTTGCATCGGTTATTGATAAGCGTTGTGAAGGATCGGTTATATTAATAAAAGGCAGTGCTGCATCAAGACCAACAATTGATTCAATTTTGCCTAATTTAACTTGTTTTCCTGCAAAACCAGCAATATGTGCTCCCAAACTATGTCCAATTACAACCAATTCGTTAAAATTTAATCCATAATTGGAATGCAAAAAGTCAATTAATTTTGCGACTGCTGTACCTACTTCAGGATATACTTTCGATGCGACTGTTATGTATTCCGTAAAGGAATACTTGCTCCAATCAACAGCAATCACATTATAGTCTCCTGTCGCTAAATATGCTTCTCTTATAGGACGATTTGGTACTTGCTCATAGGATGCAAGAAATCCATGAATAATAAATCTAGGAATTTAAAGGAATATTTCATTCAAAATATGCAATATATATGGTAATAATTATCAAATATTGTAATTTGTGTATTGTAATTTGTAAACATTGAAAAATTTTAAAATAGTACTCACTTGGTCTTACGTGAACTATCGTAATTGGACACTGCTACAGAATTGTCTTTATAACTGATTATTTGTGGATCTTCCGGATTTTGATTAGTGTAGAGGTAGAACTTAACACTATTAAGAACGTCCAATGGGTTTATTACAGCATTATTCGCAACTGAAAAATCTGTGGTTGGATTGGGATCATAGAATAAGGTTTTTACTTAGTTACTGCAAATATTATTTATTCAATGTATATTACCAAAATATGCGAAAATTAATAGAATTATATATGTCTTCATGTTGAACGAAATAAAACTTTCTGATGAACTCTCAGAAAATGTTCGAACTTATATATTGTCGAAAGTAACTAGTTTATTTAAATAAGTTTTATGATAGATTACCTTTAATGACTTTTTTATAGATAATTGTTCAGATATTTTAAGCTAATTACCTCAATTCAGAAATTGCTCTAAGTTCGTTATCATTTGTTATTATAGTTATTCGACAAGTACCTTAATTGATACTATATTGGCAGGTCATGTAGCCTATTCTATGTATTTGCCTTTTATTGTTTGGCCTATCCTGTAATTTATATTGGTATTTTACAAGTTCATCTTCAGAGAAAGGATCTTAAACTATTGCACAAAAATATTATACTTTATACAAACGGACGTAACACGATTCTTTTGTTACGAATACTAAGTCGGGTTCTCATGACATGTACCCACAGCTACAATATGACATTATGCATAATTTTTATTTTGAAAACACTCAGCACATATCGAGCCTACTTTTTAAATGTAGAGGAGGTCTTTTTTATCTGAACGGTACAGAATTTAATATATCTAAACGTGATTGTTCTTTGTGTAATCGTCATGAAATAGAAAATATATGTCATATTATTGGTGTCTGTTCAAATTTCAGAGAACATAGACGTATTTTTTTTTTTGATAAAGCATTTCTGTCCGAAGAAGAAGTGAAAGCCTTATTAAACGGTAGCAATATTTATAAACTATATAAATTTATGAAAAATGCTTTAAGTCGGAAGATTAGAAGAAGATTAATTATTGATGAATTTATATAAATAATAATGTTAATAATATACACCATAGTGTTAATAATATGTGTGCCAATCTGACACACAACAAATATGTTATTGTCAATTTGGATTTTAAATAAAATTCTATGAATTTGGTAAGTGCTGTATAAATTTTTTGAATCACTAAATAATAATAATAATAATAATTCATTTTTTTTATCTGAACTCATTCATATGGTACAAAATATTTAGTTTATGCATTTACATAAATAAATAATTATATACGAACTGCAAATCAACTGACTTTTCAGCAATCAGCAAAGCATTTAACTAATAAAAATAAAATATAGTAATTAAGTTAACTGTTGATAATATATGGGTAATAAGCTCTAAGTTACATTAAATATGTAACTATTCTGAATTTACTTGTATATATTTATATATATATTCATATATATATAAATTTAAATTTTCAAAATTAATTTATAAAAATAAAATTATTTTAATTAAATATTTACATATAGAAATATATAGAATATAGAATATAAATACAGAAACGACTTTTATTTGCAACAATCTTAAAATAGGAATTTAAGTATTTAGTGTCGTGCTAATCATTTTTTTAACAGATTATTTGTCATATACGTATATTTAACATTTGTAGTGCATAACATAATAAATTGAAATGGTGCAATATCAGAAACACAATGCTATAAATGCTTTCCAACTGAATTTATAAATACCCCAGTTTCAATTTAAAACTAATTTACTGCTTTTACCAACATTTAAATAGTATTCGTCCTTAGTACTAAAATAATATATTCCGTCAACCCTTTCTATATCCAAAGGATCACCAAGCCGAACATCAACCAATTTATTGCAACCTATCTTTTCTTTTATTTCTTCGAAATTATCACACTGATATATAGGTGCATACGATTTCCCTCTTATTGAATCAGAATAAACTACGTTCGCAGTGTTATGCGAACAACCACCAAGTAAATCGATTCCGCAAAATGGGAGTCCACGTCCCCAATTTGGATAAAATGTCATATCTCCAATTGGTCTTAAGAAACCCTCGCGACCACCAGTAACTTGTAGAGTTAAAACAAATTTAGCGTCAGTCCTTGATAAGTGAGTCGAATTTAGGGGATAAAAATATAATGGTAATGCTGGATCGGATCCGACAATAGCACCAATTTTACCGCGTAATACGTTTTTACCACAATATCCAGCAATATGTGCACCCAAGCTATGACCTATCACAACTAATTGGTCGAAATCTAAACCAAAGTTTTCATTTAGTAAGTCTACGAAATCAGCCACTATTTTTCCAACTTCGGGAACTCGTTTCACAGCTTGTGTATAAACGGAATGTGCATAAAAACTCCAATCAACGCTTATTACGTTATAGTCACCTGTTGCTAAATAAGCATTTCTGACTGGAGGATTTGGTGTCCTTTCATAACTGGATCTCCAACCATGTATAATAATCCTGGAAGAAGAAAAAAATTACATCATTCCATATAATTAATTTTTAATACATACATTACTTACTTGGTTCTATGTTCGGGATTGTAGTTGGATATATTTATTGAATTTAAATCATATATAGATAAGATCTGTGGATCTTTGGGATTCTCACGAGTGAAAAGGTAAAACTTTACTATATCAGTACCATTTCTTCCAGCAGATCCTTTGGTTGCTACTACTGAATGCGTTTAAATGACTTAAAATATTAAATTAAAATTATTTTTATCACATTTAGTACTTACATAACAATAAAAATATGCTGGAAAATATATGAACAATTAAGTGTTTACACATTGCGAATAAATTGTTAATGTGACATAAAAATTTGTTCTTTTGCCATTTATATACTGGAACCTCTAAGTAAAATTTCCAACACTTGTTTTATATAGTTTTATGCCCCCATGAATGAGTAAATAATTTATTCATTCAAAATAATTAAGTAATAATTTTTACAAAATTTACATAAATAATAACAATACATGCTGTACCATATACTCGTATGTACTTTAAATAGCATCTAACATATAATAAGCTACGTGCTCTATAAATATTTTTTTGTATCTAAATATATTAGTTGAGTTGTGAAAGTACTATCCGAATAAGTTCCAATATCTGATGCTATCTATTATTAACCAATGAAACTTTCAAAATACTTGCATTTTTAGAATTTTACTCTACTGTTTGATGATGTTACAATGATTTCTTAATTATTTAAGAGTAATACTTTTAATGTTAACATAAATACATAAAATTAAAAGAAGTAATATCAATAGTACTTTGAGCAATTTATGCATTAATAACCATCCAGAAACTTCAGAAGAATTGGATAACTGTATACAGAACCTGACGCATCTATTAAAACAGGCCTTAGATAGCTGCTCTACCCTCAAAGATAGAAAACCATGTAGTTATTTTAACTTACCGCAGCATATTAAAAACATGATTAGAAATCGAAATAGAGTCCGGAAATTTGCTCAAATAACGGGTGACCCAGAGAGCAGAAGAGAGGCCAATCGTCTTTCAAATGAAATCAGGAAAAGGATCTATGCATTTAAAAATATAAAATGGGGTGATTTTCTGATGGGTCTTGAAACAGGGGATAAAACCTTCTGGGCCATGAATAAGTACTTCAGGTTGAAGCGTAAGCCAGTAATACCACCTAATACCACTAATACCACCTCAAGCTAGGTAAATTTCCTAAGTTCTGGAAGCTGGCCACAGTCATTGTCTTCCCAAAACCTGATAAGAATCCAGAATTCCCGCAGAACTGGCGCCCCATAAGCCTGCTATCAACCATAGGAAAGCTTGCCGAAAGGGTAATTCTTAGCAGATTAAATGATGTAGTGGCTTTACGCAATATACTCCCTGACGAACAATTTGGCTTTAGGAATGACCTGTCCACGGAGCTTGAAACTGGCTAGAACGACCCAAATGATCCCAACAGCCCTTAGTAGAAGAGAGTCAACTGGAATGATCATTTTTGATATTTCTAAAGCTTTTGACAAGGTCTGGCATGATGGTCTGATAGTTAAAATGTCTCATCTAGGTGTTCCAGGCAGACTAACTAAGATCATTGGCAGCTTCCTACGTGGGAGGTCCTTTCGCACGAAAATCAACAGCGCTCTCTCGTCAGTCCGATCTATAGAAGCAGGGGTTCCTCAGGGATCGCCACTTTCCCCCACTCTCTACAACATTTATACATCTGATATTCCAATGTTAGGTCCCTCGACTCTGGCGTTATATGCTGACGATACGTGTATGTTATACTCAGATAAATGTGCTCTCAACATAACGAACACACTTCAAGAGCATATAAACCTCATTCTGGAGTATTTTCAGAAATGGAAAATAAAAATCAAAAATGAAAAAACTAAGGCTCTGTTTATAACGCGTAAGTGGAGACAGAATCCGTCGAGAGTAAGAGTGGGTGATATGGTGATAAACTGGGAGGATAGCGTTAAATATCTCGGCATCATGTTGGACAAACGATTCACATGGCTTAAACATGTTCAACTGAAAAGAATTAGCTGTGCCAAAATTCTTCATTACCTCCAACCACTATTTAGAAAAGAAAACCTCAATGCTAAGAACAGGAAACTGATATATAACCAAATAATTTGTCCTTCACTTCTATATGGTTGTGTAGCGTTTAGCAAAGCTTCAAACACTACTATTCACCAATTAGAAATTGCACAAAGCCAGGCTCTGAGAAGACTTTTCAAAGTTCCTTGGTATATTAGGACGAATGACATCCTTAGGGACCTCAAGATTGATCCCATCAAAAAATACATAAAGGATAGAGCCTTGAAATTATTTGCGAAATCTGACAGACTTACTAACACCGCATTATCAAATCTCAGAATGGTTACAGGCTCCTCGGGGAGGTATGCAGATCTGAGGTCAATTATTACTTAGTCTGATGATGTGATAAATAATAATCCAGTCAAGGCGCAAAGGGGGGTTTTGTAGAAATCTCGCAGTTAATATGGAGTAAAAGTGCTCAGGTGCACTGACTCAACTTCCCTCAACATAATAATTGAGCAATTTAACCTTTCTGAAATCATAAAAATATATTTTATTTTAACTTTTCATTAATTTAGTTATTTTTTAAAACTTATTGTCTTAATCAAATTAGTAAGTGATAGCAGAGATTCGAACCTTTATGTTTAGCCAAACTCATAACAAAGGCGGTAATCATATGTAAAATATTTTTTTTACTATTACCCATCACTATTGAATAATATTCCGATTTCGTTCTGTTTCAACAACAATTACTAATAGTATCAGGTTTATAAAGCCGATCAAGCAATTTTATTAGGAATAAAAGCCAGCGACCATTTCATTGACCATTGACATTTATTCAATAACTACTAGTCAACATAGTGTTAAACACAATCAACATCAGGTAAAAAAATACATAGCACCAAAAATTTTATTAAAATAATCGTTCTGAGTCCATGAAATATAATAATATCGACATCGTATCGTAGTGTCGGTCTTCACACTTAGTAGTAACAGAAAATGAATTTAAGTAGTCACCCATTTTGACAATTAAACTGCAATAAGCACTATAATAATTTTTAATTATTACTGTTAAAATGAAGATAACCAAAGATTTTTAACCAAAGGTTAAGAAAAATATACGATAATATAAATATACTCATTTTACCGACGGTCGAAAGACGTGCTCAAAGTGTAGTGCTCAACTTAACTCAAATGTATACATAACAGTGGCAATAAATCGACAAAAAATTTATTAAAAATTCATAAATTTGAAACTGCAAGTATGTAGCGTCTATGATTAAATCGTATACACCGCTTAAGTGTGACAATTATTTTCATACTTCATTGTTTACAATGGGTTTCGTTTCCAGTACTTTTTGACTTGCTTAGAGAAGAAGATTGAGACTAAGTCTAAGTAAAAATAAACCTTATCAACAAAACAAAAAACTTGAAAAAATTATATAGTGTTTTTTTTTAAATTTATTTTAAGCTTTTAAAATTTTTATTGGGTAAAATATAATTTAAAGTAATATTTATAAGTTTAATTACCTTAAAATGGATAAAAATAAAAAAATAAAATCAAAAAAGTAAAAAAATTGAAAACTTAATTACAATTAATTAATTACAATTATGTATTGAATATAATGATGATAATTAAATAAAAATTGATAGGACGTTACTATCCTTAATATCGAAATAAAAGATTCCCGGTAATCTTTTCACAATCAAGGGGTCCCCAACTTGTATATCAACTTCTTTATTGCAACCAGTTTCTTGTAGAATTTCATCAAATGAGCTACACTGATATATGGGTGCAAATGAATAACCTCTCACTCCAGCTGCATAAATCAAATTTGCTCGTAGGTGTGGACAAAAGCCAAAAATGTCAATAGCACAGCTTTCGAGAGTCCGACCCCAATTTGGATAAAAGGAAGTATGCCCTACAGGTTCAATGACACCTTGTCGTCCAATTGTAGCATGGATAGTAACAACATAATTGGCATCGGTTTTTGTCAAAGTTTGAGATGGATCATCAACATCGATAAATGGCCGAGCCGGATCAATTCCAACGATAGCTTCGATTTTACCAAGCTTAACTTGTTTGCCTGTAAAACCAGCAACATGTGCTCCCAAACTATGTCCAATTACAACCAATTCATTAAAATTCAATTCAAATTTGATGTGTAAAAAATCAATTAATTTTGCTACTGAAACGGCTACATCAGGTAATACTTTCGATGCGACTGATATATACGGCATATAGGCATACTTGCTCCAATCAACAGCAATAATATTATAGCTTCCCGTTGCAAAATAAGCCTCTCTTATCGGACGATTTGGAGTTGTCAAGTGAGACGAAAGAAAACCATGAATAATGAACCTAAGGATTGAAAAATGTATCAATATTTTTAGAAAAAGTATATATACACACGTTTAATTTATATACAAATTTAAAAATGGCACTCACTTGGTCTGATGCGAAGAATTGTAATTCGAGGATCTAATTGAATTTTCATCATTTGCATTGATTATTTGTGGATCATCCGGATTTTGTTTAGTGTACAGATAAAATTTGACACTCTCAACAACGTCCAATGGGTCTATAGCAGCATTAATTCCAACTAAAAAATTTATAATTTATATTTTATATATATAGTATTTATATAATTTTTAATACCAAAATATGTTGAAAAACATAATAGGATTAAATACGTGTGCATATTGAATAAAATTCACTGTCAACTAAACGTTTAGAAAATTGTTTCGCTTAAATATTATTCAAAGTAACCACTTTATTCAAATTAGTTTTGTTATAGATTATTTTTAATTAGTTTTAGAGATAATTTTAAAAATATACCTCAAACTAATTACTTTAACACAGATAAAAATTAACATAATAATTAAATTTTATAAATAAAAATAATATAATAATTTGTAATTTGGATTTGTATTATGATCCAATTCTAGTTCTAATTTGACAGGCATGAGTTCTAGGCCTGGTACTTGCAGTCCAAACAAATTATATATGGACTATAAACTAATTAAAACATAAGTATAAGACCACTGATGATGAGTACTTGGCAACACTCGAAACAGCGTTGTATAGTCAGCCAAATTTCAATGAATTAACTAAATTTTTGTTGTTGTCTTTTCATTTCTATTTTATTCTATTTAAAAGTTAGAACTTTTAATTAGTTTCTTTTCGCCATAGGACACGTCACTCTCGACAAGAAAATATTAACATTAAAAAATTTAATTATGTTTTATTTTGAATAATAATATTAATTCACAAATAAAATACAAATTGTGTTTCACTTTTAAGAAAAATATAATATTAGTCTTCTTAAGTAGATAGACATACATTGGTCTAGCATCTGAACTAAGGAATTGGATTAGAAGTCGTGCTTAACAAATGATCAGCTACTCATAGTAAAGCAAAACATGGCTTAAATTATAAAATATATTTATTAAATAAATATATTAAAAAATATAAAAATCTGTTTATGCATTTTACGGTATTTTTTTTATTATATACACATGTAAAAACTTATTTAATACAATTAAATTTTTATATTAATTAAAAAATTATTAAACAATAGTTTAATAATATTTTATTTTATTTTTAATAGTTTTATTACTATTGTTTATAGTAGTAAACAACTAACAACATTTCCTGAATGCATAGAAAACAAAACTGAAGAAAACTGAGAAAAGGGAAAAGGTGTATGGAAGCCCATAGAAAAGGAAGGGATATGCAGTCTATTACGAAACTTTTACCCGGGGCCTACGCAGAGCATTTAAATACTCACTCATTTAGCGCACTTTATAAAATGGTATTTTAATAAATAATCATTAAATACAGAAGTTGAATAAGTAAAATATATTTCTCTACGGTTAGCATCGATGTATAAAAATAAAATAAATTCCTCTTATAACACCCCTACCAGCCGTGAGTTATCCGACCTAACAACGACGCAATTAAATTTCTTACAACTGTACGAATTAATGAATATAGGTTGTAATGAGTGTCAACATCCGCATCCGCAAATGAGTATCATCTTCACATATTATAATAAGTCATCTTCATTGACATTTATATCTTACTTTTAGTCTACATCTTCACCTGCAAACACATCATATTATATTATAATATATGTGGATCTCTTTTGTTTCCTTATAGAATGAAACCATCCGTTCAAGACATCATGTTGTATATAATGTGACACAGCAGACACACTAAGTCTGCAAATCATAATTGCTTGTTGCTTCTTCTTCTGTTGTACTCATCCATCAGTACCTTTTGCTTTTAAAATGAAGAAACTGAAAAGCAAAAGTGTTTTTAAACCATTAATAACATTACATGGTGAGAATTAATTAAGTTATTATTATTATAAATGATTAAGTCTTATTATATTTACTCATGTCTGAGTACTTCAACTTTCTAATCATCGATGTTTTTATTGTTAAATTATCGAACACATTATGAATTCATACGCCACCAGAATAAGAAACCATCAGATGAAGAAAATAACTACTGAAATATGAAGTTATTTCTTTCGTCCGATAAAATAATCTTTATTATTAAACTCCATTTTTTTATCATCTTCTTATTTCTAATGCCATATCCACATACTCTACCACAGCTTTTAAAATTTCAAAATAAATGATCGACTTCTACTTCCTCATGTAATATTAAAACTTTAAAAAATTAAAGAGTAAATAAGTAAAGTAAATCTATACGAATAATCTTCAATGAATCATATTTATATGAGATACATCTCTCCATAAAACAAATTTTTTAAGAAGACTTTATCCAAAAAAAAATATATTCCTATCGAGCATATCGAGCTTTTACGAGTATATCTCAATCATTTAATATACATATATGATAAATTTAATATATGGAATTAACTTTATATAATTCTACGAGAATGAAACTTTGTCTAAAAGGAAGACAGTTTAAAGGAAGCAAACAATTACCGCTCATATGGCTTACAAATTGTATAGTTGACCTAATTATATATAAATGTACCTTAAATATGCTATTATTATTCTCTTTAACTAACAAATATTTAGATAAATTCAATATACCCTTATCAATCAAGTATATTATTATTCACAATAAAACGCAAACTATTTTATTATACTTTCGATAGAAAAAAATTTTATTGATATAAAAATGTGGTAAAGTATATTTATGGATATTTATATAATTGGCTAAATACCAATGTTTCTTTAAACCTAAATATCATATTAAACGAAAAGTGCTAGCTTGGAAGCATCTTTAATATCAAAATAGAAAATTCCCGGTAATTTATTCACAATCAAAGGATCTCCAACTTGGATATCGACTTCTTTATTGCAACCGGTTTCTTCCACAATTTCTTCAAATGAGCTACACTGATAGATAGGTGCATATGAATAACCTCTCACTCCAGCAGCATAAATCAGAATAGATGTTTGGTGAGAGCAAAAATCAGCAAATATATCAACGTCACAATTTATTTGTCGACGACCCCAGTTTGGATAAAAAGAGGTATGACCAATTGGCATTGCAATGCCGTTCCTTCCACTCGAAGTGTGTATCGTTACAACATAATTTGCATCGGTTATTGACAAGCGTTGTGAAGGATCGTTAATATTAATAAAACCCAGTGCTGCATCAAGACCAACAATTGATTCAATTTTGCCTAATTTAACTTGTTTTCCAGCAAAACCAGCAACATGTGCTCCCAAACTATGTCCAATTACAACCAATTCGTTAAAATTTAATCCATAATTGGTATGCAAAAAGTCAATTAATTTTGCGACTGCTGCACCTACTTCAGGATATACTTTCGATGCGACTGTTACGTATTCCCTAAAAGAATACTTGCTCCAATCAACAGCAATCACATTATAGTCTCCTGTCGCTAAATATGCTTCTCTTATAGGACGATTTGGTACTTGCTCATAGGATGCAAGAAATCCATGAATAATAAATCTAGGAATTTAAAGGAATATTTCATTCAAAATATGCAATATATGTATATGGTAATAATTATCAAATATTGTAATTTGTGTATTGTAATTTGTAAACATTGAAAAATTTTAAAATAGTACTCACTTGGTCTTACGTGAACTATCGTAATTGGACACTGCTACAGAATTGTCTTTATAACTGATTATTTGTGGATCTTCCGGATTTTGATTAGTGTAGAGGTAGAACTTAACACTATTAAGAACGTCCAATGGGTTTATTACAGCATTATTCGCAACTGAAAAATCTGTGGTTGGATTGGGATCATAGAATAAGGTTTTTACTTAGTTACTGCAAATATTATTTATTCAATGTATATTACCAAAATATGCGAAAATTAATAGAATTATATATGTCTTCATGTTGAACGAAATAAAACTTTCTGATGAACTCTCAGAAAATGTTCGAACTTATATATTGTCGAAAGTAA